GCCTTGGTCCTTGAGCAAGGTCACCTTATTAAAGCATGCATGCAATGTTCCATCAAATGTCCTCTAAGCAGCATGGGGTACGCTTGGCAAGAAAATTTCGATGCGTCATTCCTACTTGGTAATGGCCCTCAGCACTTCTGCTGATGCAGTTTTGTGAAAAACATTTATTTTAAAATTTTTTTCTTTAATTTTAGCAGTGGTATTTTTTTCTTCTTCTTTTTTCTGTAGGGAGATCTTGTATATGTGAACTATGCTCGTACTGAAGACTTCTTCAAACTAGAAAGAGAGATGAATATTAACTGCACTGGAAAGATTGTTATTGCAAGATATGGGAAGATCTTCAGAGGAAACAAAGTATGGTGGAGCTTTTCTAGGGGGAAGGAACGGGGACAGATACTGTGGATGTAAATGATCAGCTTGCCTCATAGTTTCCAAAATTGCTTTGAAATTTCTTTTCTACTTGCCATGGGCACACAGAAAATTTTATTTTTTATTCACTTCATATGTCCATAAAGGAAAAAGAGTTTTATTAGAAGAATAATATCTTTTAAAAAATTAATTGAAGAAATGCATACAAACTAAAAAATAAAAATCTCCCTTGCATTATTCAACTTCATTGGCTAGACATAATCAATCTTAATAGCTTTTTCCAAACCTAATTCTGTGATATATAAACATTCCTCTATATATTTACTATACACACATATATATGGATGTAATTATATTTAATATATAGTATATTATATAACATCAGTAATATATATTATAATATGTAAGAATATATATAGATCTAATTAGTATTTATTAAACACAGGTCATTATCCACTGTATCTTGGATAACTTTATAATTTCACTCAGCCATGACTTGGATATTCTTTTATATTATTACACAGAAAGTCATGTAACATAGTCTTTAAGAGTATAGTCCATAGGTCCTTACCACCTGGGTCTGCTCTCCTCTGGGCCCCTGCACTTTTACTGTGAGCAAGATCCTTAACCTCTCTGTGCCAACATTTCCTCATATATAAAATGGGAATGCTAATTATAGCAACAATCTCAAAGTGAAACTCAGATTGTTTCACAACAATCTTCTTACTAGCTCAGTGGTAGAATTCTTGCTTTGCAATGTGCTGCAAATAAATTAATAAATATCTCACTAATTTAAGGAAGTGGTTAATTGGGGGTGTGGCTATAGGATATATATTTTGTATCTGGAGCTGGAGTTTCTCTCTCTGCTTGTTGACCACCATGATGAGAGCTGCTTCCCTCTGCCACACTAGGGCTAACTGACTTTATGTTTTAAAGCACTTAGGGTAATAGCTGGTTTTAGTAATTTCTATATCTTAATAAATATCTCATTAATTTAAGTGGTAACATAATATTTTGTAGGAATGAAAAGCAGTGCATTTAACCATTTCTTTGTTAGCGAGTGCTTGTCTTGAATTGGTTACTAGTACAAATAATTCTATTGTGAACATTCTTGTCCATATACACTTCAAACATCTGTATGAACATTTTTATAGTATAGATTCTTGGAAATGGAGTGGCTAAATAATAGTGTAGCTTCGTACAGCATTTTGACAGGCTAATTATAACAGTCCTTCCCCCAAATTGTGACAGATTATATTTTCACTGATACAGCAAAATGATTTCTGAATATTGGGATCTCTTTTAGTTAATCAAGACTGATAGTTACATCTTTTGCTATAATACTTTTGCTGATGAAATATTTAGTACCTCGCAGGGTAGATGTTATGGTTTGGATATGAAGTGTCTCCCAAAAGCTCACCTGTGAGACAATGCAAGAAGTTTCAGAGGAGAAGTGACTGGATTGTGAAGGTCTTAACCCAATCAGTAAATTAATTGGATTTAATTGAGTGGTAACTAGAGGCAGGTGGGGTGTGGCTAGAGGAAGTTGTTAATTGAGGGTGTGGCTATACTATATATATTTTGTATCTGGAGCTGGGGTTTCTCTCTCTGCTTGTTGACCACCATGATGCGAGCTGCTTCCCTCTGCCACACACTCCATCATGATGTTCTGCCTCACCTCAAGCCCAAGGAATAGAGCTAGCCTTCTCTGTACTAAGACCTCTGAAACTGTGAGCTCTCAAATAAACTTTTCCTCCCTAGGGTTGTTCTGGTCAAATCCTTTAGTCACAGCAGCAAAAAATCTGATTAAAACGGTAGATTTTCATATTGTTGGTCAATTTACATTGTTCAAAATATTTTTGAGAAACAGGCTGAGAAGTTCTTCATACACTTTGACTGTTTTGCATACAATTTTATGTCAGTTTAATTAAACCAATATTTGTAAAGTGCTTACTCTTAATTTTAAATTAAGATGATGTGTGAGATTTTGGAGGGTGGGTATTTAAAATTAAGACATGATGTATTTTCTCAATAATATCCTCAGTCCAGTAGAGAAGACAGATATTTAAAAGACATTTTAATACACTATGATCTGCCCTACAGTAAATATATATACAAAGAATAAATCCAAAGAAGAAAGGCGACTTTAATTTTTCAGGTTTGGAAACCATAGAATATTTCACATGTGTGAGGCCTACAAAGAGGGGAACTATCTTCAAAGCAAAGAGAACTAAATAGGTAATGGCATAATCAAGTGCAATGTCTAAATTTCCTTACATTATGATTTTTTATATAAATAGTAATTTGCCATTTCTGTACCTTCCTCACGCAGGTTAAAAATGCCATGTTAGCAGGAGCCATAGGAATCATCTTGTACTCAGATCCAGCTGACTACTTTGCCCCTGGGGTACAGCCATATCCCAAAGGCTGGAACCTTCCTGGAACTGCAGTGCAGAGAGGAAATGTGTTAAATTTGAATGGTGCTGGTGACCCTCTCACTCCAGGCTATCCAGCTAAAGGTAATGGATGAGCCTATGAGCCTGTCAGTGTACCGTTTTTGCAAAAAGATTCCTTGCTGTTTTAGATGGGGAAAAAAGCAAGCATCTGTAGAATAACATTAAAAGAACTAAAAAATGTTTGCATTATGTAATTTTGGATTATTAATACTAGGAATTCAAAATAATTGCCTTTGTAGTATATATGTATGTATGTATGTGTGAATGTATTTGGGGCTAGAAATTGAACCCTGGGCACTCAATTGCTGAGCTACATTCCCACATCTTTTTATTTTGACATGAGTTCCCAATAAGTTAATTAAGGCCTAAATTGGTGATACTGACCTCAAACTTGCACTCCTACTGCCTCAGCCTCTTGAGTTACTAGAATTACAGGTGAGTGCCATTGCACTTGGCCTTTGCATTATTTTTTAGTTTGAATTCTCATGACATGTAGGCATGGGAAGGGAATATTCAGTTGGTATTCTCCTTTTACCCTTACTAGACAAGAGTTTCAGAGATGTTGCTCCTCATACCCAAAGTAATATTGCTCTTAACAAACTAGGATTTACATTTTCTAAGTTATCTACGATTTTATGCTTCTTTAGATCACTCATTTGTATTTTAAAAATACCAGTGAGGTTTTTTTATTAGTGTTATTTTAAATGTCAATTTTGAAGTTTTGACATGTGCAAAGCCATCTTTTTTTTTAAAGAGAGAGGAGAGAGAGAGAGAGAGAGAGAGAGAGAGAGAGAGAGAGAGAGAGAGGGAATTTTTTAATATTTATTTTTTAGTTATTGGAGGACACAACATCTTTGTTTGTATGTAGTGCTGAGGATTGTCGAACCCAGGCAGCGCGCATGCCAGGTGAGCGTGCTACCACATGAGCCACATCCCCAGCCCTGTAAAGCCATCTTTACAAATTCATTACCCCTAAAGCTCTTCCTTTCTCTGTCTACTCTTCTTGCCTTCTCAATACCAATGCCTAGGAAACCATTGTTCTGCTTTTTCTCAGCATAATTATTTTGAGATCCATCCATGTTGGCGTTTCTGTCATAGTTTGTTTCTGACTAATATTGCATTGACTGGCTATACCAGAGTTGGTTTATCCATTTACTTGTTGAGGGACATTTGGATTGTTTCATTTTAGAAACTTTTACATATAAAAGTGCTACGAACAAGTTTACAAGTAAGTGTCAGTGTGTATACATTTATTTCTCTTTGGTAAACACTTAGAAGAAGAATGGATGAATAAGACGGCAGATTGATATTTAACTTATAAAGAAATTTTCAAATTGGTTTTCCAAAAAGACTGCTCTACTTTGTATTCCACCTAATAATCCAGTTCTTATATCCTTGCCAGTGTGGCAGTGGCTATTAATTCTGGATTTTAAGTAAGTCCTCTAAGTTACAACTCTTGTTTTTTAAAGTTATTGTCACATCTTGGTCCTTCCATGTGAATTTTAGAGCTGGGTTTCTAATTTCCCAGAAATTAGGAATCCCACAGACATTTTTTTTTTTCCTGTGAGTTTAAAAGAAATCTGTAGATCAATTTGAGGAGATTTGATATCTTAAAATGTTTGAATCTTTTGATATATGAAAATAGTACAACTCTTTACTAGTTAATTTCTCTCAGCAATGTTTTATAGTTTTACTGTATGGATCATGCACATCTTTTGTCAGATTTATTCATAAGCATTTCATAATTTTGTACTATTGTAAATTACATTAAATCTCAAGTCCTATTGCTCATT